ACGAAGTTGGGGTGTTCTCAGTGACTTCGGCTCTATCAGCAGCCGATTCGTGCGAAAATGACGATTAAAGTGGAAGAACAGTAAACTAAAGTGGCCGCTAGTAATTTTTTGTAGCAAATGACTTTACTCCGGCTTCTCTTTTACCCCGAAGTCATCTTTATAAGGAAACTGGTTGCCCGAGTTGAGTCTCAAAATATTGACGCTGGATCCGAATTGTTAATGCGTCAGCCGTATATGCGATGGAATTCTCCTCTTGATAGCTCATCAACAAGAGCCACCCTTCCTAATTACTCTACTTTAGTGCTTTAGCATTTACAAAACACAATTGTAAGATGTTGTCTCTAGGATAACAACCTTGTTTTGTTGTCTTCAGCCTTCTTTTGATCACCTCATTGCTCCTGGCCTCACTTCAAGCGAGCAAAACGACCTTTGGGGAGGCCAAAATGGTGTCAGACTTCATTGCAGAGCGAATGCTAGACGTCGCCGATTCTGAAGGTCTGGCAGACGCCGCCTTGCCTTTAGCGCGTTGCTATGACTTGCTGGAGGAGCTACGCACCGAATGCAATCAGCACTGCCATGACAACGCCCCCAATGTCAATGCCTGCCTTCAGAACTGCTGGGGCGGATGGAAGTATGGACGTCTGACGTGTCGACTGCGCTACAGCTGAAAATTGATGATATCGCCATCACCCTTTTTATTTTTTTCATTCATTCATTTTATTTAATCGCTCACAGTAACATGCGAGGACTTGCAAATGCACGACCATCTCCTGTTATCTTGCTTAAAAGTTAACCTCTTCTCTGTGACCATCAGTTTACATCTTTCACCTTCTTAGGAAGTGGGCGGAAATAACCAAAAAAGGAAATTGCGTGACAGAGTCCAATTTTGATAAGAAACATAAACTACCGATGCACGAAAGCTTCATCAACAGCCGCACGCTGAAATTAATAAAACTTTATGGTCCTGTGTGAAGTCTTTAAAAAGATAAATCGAGGGGGATCTAAGAGTTAACTTAAATCGGCTGACTGCGGAGACCTAATTACAATAGAAATCTGCACCAACACTGTCTCAAAATGTGTGTGACCTTTAAGTCGCATTTTGAAAGACTTCAAATTAGAGGCGATTTTCCGAAAATGTTACCTTAGTGCTCCATTAGGGACCTGTTAGTGTAGTGTAGATTTTCTAAAGATCAAAATGTGAATGACTTTAGCAGCACTTGAAGCAGTTTGGAACAAGATTAGTGCATTTATCTTATTAATGGCAACGTAGTGTTCAATTCAAGTTTGGACTCATTGAGAGATTAAAGATGGTCCTAATAACTTACTTTCTTTGCATGTGCATAAATAAACCGTAAAGTCAGTGACATGAAACTCTAGTTAGGGCCAAATTATAATGTTTCAATTGTTATCGCTCAAATGACGAGGTATTTAGTAATCCCCTCTCAAAATCAATGCCCTCTACACTGCCAAGCTACTGATTTTCATTTAAGCATCATGTGCAACATAAAAACTGACCACATAACTCGGTAAAGATCTAGCTACATTTATGTCTTCATCGACAGCGCTTGTCCTCAGGGAGTAAATAAAGCAGTTGACCTCAATTGTGCCCTGAGATTCTTAAAACCAACATAAACCCGCGGTGGAGCAGGCATTTGGCGTTATGCAGTTCCGACCAGGGAAACCAGACGCTCCTCCGGCTTGTGGAAAGCAGCATTCGCGACTGCGACTCACATTGAGAATAGCGGGCGTATTATACCTGTTTTAATGCGACTCCCACCTTAAAGAGGTAATAAAGGAATCTACAGTCTTGGGTGTGTTAAGGATAAACGTCAACTCCCTTTTAATAATTTAATCAAACACTTTAATTCAGTCGATAATTTTAGACACTCATTTACGAATGTACAAATGCCAACACAATGCTTGATATTTAGCCTGCATCAATAATAGCATCCCTCTTTACTGTTAAAAGTGCGCCCGATTTTGACTCTCGAAACCGCCCTCTCATCACCTCGATCTGCAATGATATGCACTGAGAGAAGCATTTTGGAGCACATCCGTTTTATATAGAAT